GAACCTTACACGAGAACTTCTCTTCATTCCGATTAGAAGGGTGTTATGATTATCGGTGACACGACTTCTTGCACGAGATCTCGATCGGTGACTCTTGAGAAGAAGAGATCGGTTGTGGCTTTGGTTTTGACTTGTATGATACTGTTCGTGATTTGATTTTGCCTCAGGGTAGATTATAAGATCAACGGAAAGAGCGCCGGCGCGCGCACCGATGCCCTCCCAGATGCGACAACCGCCACTTTGCCGGAAAGCGATCGGCGACGGCGGTTTACCGTTCACGTCCGCGATGTCTCGCGAGCCTCCTTCCGCAGGACCAACGATCGGCGTTCGGCTACCCGCCTCGACATTCCTTAGCTCATCGATACGACAAAGCTCATCATCGCACAGGCACCGCATTATTAACTATTTATCTTCACGTTATTATTCGGATATTATGAAATATCTCGAGTCGCAACTCATAATTCAATCTTTCTTCTTTCTTAACTAACTTAGACGGATTTTGTCAGATAAATACTTATGCATGGGATAAATATTGTCTCTACAAATTTAATAGGTCACTGAGTTGTCACACATTGATAAATATACAAGCGTATCTTGAGAATAGGGTCCACCACCGATATCACAAAAACAAATAAAGTTAAGAGTTTTTTAACAACAATATTTGAAAGTAGAGGGAAGAAGATGTATAACCACTTATCACCTTGATTCTTATAACGTTGTTATCGGAACATAAACGGCAATGTTTAAAAATCCATCAAAAGTATTTTCTTTCGTTGTTAGTTTTTTTTGGTTGTGAGCACTGTTGTTTAGTTTACGAGACCTTAAAATAACTTTTAGACATACGTTACTTAATTATTTTATAAAATATATTGTTATTATTAAGCTTGATTCAACCGCATTATTAACTACAGTAGAATCCGCTTAGTATGACATCGAAGGGACGCCGAAATCTCGTCATACTAACCGGTCGTCATACAAAGCATACTGAAGAAAAACTATTTTAATATATAAATATGTTACATGTTTCAGTAATTTAAAAGAAAAGCTCATACATACATTTTAATTAAAAATAAAAATTACACATATTAAAATTTAATATAAAATAAAATTGACATAGGGTAGGGCGGGGTTCAAAGGTCCAATTTGACTTTCAGTAATTATACTGTCTAAACCCAATGAATAACCTTGCAACACATAACACACATTAAACAAGCATCTATCCAACTATGTACAGAAAAAAATTCACAAAGTTCCTAATTATATAAATATTATTTTTTTAATTTGGTATCTGATCCATTTTACCTCACATACGGGGTAAAATGGGACAATCAGGGGGCAAACAGATGCAGTTTTTTCTATTAAATTTTAAAGGGATGTTACGCTTTTGAACCAATTGACTATTTTATTGCTTACACCTTTGCCAAAGTAAAGGTTCTGCTGGTCCTTTTTATTCTATTTAGTATTTATCTTCACGTTATTATTCGGATATTATGAAATATCTCGAGTCGCAACTCATAATTCAATCTTTCTTCTTTCTTAACTATACTAACCGGATTTTATCAGATAAGTACTTATGCATGAGATAAATATTGTCTTCACAAATAGGTCACTAAGTTTTCATAAACTAATAAATATACAAGCGTATCTTGAGAATAGGGTAGAGCGGGGCTTAAAGGTCCGCGGATAAAAAGGTCCACCACCGATATTCCAAAAACAAATAAAGTTAAGAGTAGTTTAACAACAATATTTGAAAGTAGAGGGAAGAAGATGTATAACCACTTGTCACCTTGATTCTTACGACGTTGTTATCGGAAGATAAAGGGCAATGCTTGAAAATCCATCAAAAGTATTTTCTTTCGTTGTTAGTTTTTTTGGTTGTGAGCACTGTTGTTTAGTTTACGAGACCTCAAAATAACTTTATTTAATTATTTTATAAGAATATATTGTTAATTTTAAGTTAGATCCAACCATTTTTTTTACATATCTTCTATATCTATAAAAGCTTACACCTGGGTGGGGTAAAAAAGGCCAACTAAACCTTCGCCCTGGCATAGGTGTAAATAATTGAAAATAGAAAATAATAAATAAAAAGTTTAAAAAAGCAATTTTACAAAAGATAAATTAAATATTAAATAATTATTCCAACTCTGCTAATGAATACCCCGCTTATGAGATATTAAGGACCAGGTGACATTTTTTGGAAAAACAGCAAAAAAACGCATTCCTACAATGATTAGCTGGGAGTTTTACTGAACACAGTCATATAGTTATTTATTTGATATGTGTCATTTATTGCAATATAATTAATTTGGTTTTTACAATATAATTGTTCAAAATCAAATTGGACCTTTACTCCCTGTAATATAATGACTTCCGATTGCACTTTCTGTTAGAGAACTCACTTCAACGAATTATAGTTACACTAATTGATTATATTATAATAGATCCACTTATTTTTCCAAATGAATCCTAAATAATTGCCCAGATATTTTTCAAATAAATTTGCCTAAATCTATGTTTTTAACTCTTTGCCCTATCAGAATCAACTAAATAGATCAAGTATAGGTACCATGCCTTGTAGCATAAAATGTTAAGTCATGTCGAAAATCGTTAGATTGTAATATATTATCAGGATATAAAAGTATATAATGCATTATCAATAGTATTGAATAATCATCGACACACATTATATATATATATATATATATATATATATTATAATATATTATACCATTAAAACGATCATGTTTAATACGATTTTTCAGGCCAAAAACGCGAGAATCTGAAAATTTGCCCCATTGTTTCTACAACTATCTTTTCATCTCGAGGCGCGTTTTTGGTCTGGTCCTTAAAAAATCTTTTCAACAATGTTTAACTATACAAATCCGAGTAAGTTTCTTTAAAAAAAATTATTTATTGTCGATGTTTTCGAACTGTATACGTTCCATCTTCAGGGCATCTCTCTAGAACTCAATCTTGATTAGAAGATAAAAACATTTGCTCTAATGAATAATGCAATTGAATTTTTAAGAATTTGTTCGAAGCTCAATACTATATGTAATTTGTACATTTTTATTATGATTTGTATTTGTTTTCTGAACAGTAATTTTCTGAAGATTTGAAACACCTTACCAAACAAAATTTGCAAAATAACACCACGTTTGAAAAATCTTAAATTTTAATAACGTTGATAGAGATATGAGTTCTCCTCCATCTGGCTCCTGGAAAGCCAGTTGATGGAACGTAACTATGTAGTTCCGAAATATCACAGATAAATACTAGATACATTAGATTTATTCTATTTTTTCTTGGTATTTACTGCTTAGAAAATGAACACAAATATAACTCCATAAAATTTATCTTTTTGTTAATTCAATTTCAATTATGCTTTGTTTTTTCTGTAATGGATTCTCTGCCCTCTGATAAGATGCTCTTACTGGTAATATCAATGGTATTGTTTAGTATAAATAGGTCAACGATATAATTGATAAAACATCAACAATATGACTCGTTCAATAAGAAACTCTTCGTTTTTCCAGGACTTTTCGTGATGTCTCTACTATGTCGTGCACCAAACGATCTGCTATGTTTACATAGAGAATGAAAGCCGCCAGCACTAAACCATACTGAAATTCCATGCAATGGACGAATACACGATATTTTTATAACCACATGCAGATAACACGCATTTTTCTATCAGGGTAAGTTATAAAACATACTTTCAGTAAAGAAACCCAGTTGTATAATTTTTTATTTATTTATATAATCGTTGTGTAATTTTACATGAAATTTAATTTAAGGCTAATCAAAATTGTATTGAAGGCCTTGAATTAACTTTGTCGGAATAACGTTAGGATAACATTAATCAAAATGCCAACCTGTAGCTTTATGAATGCGCGGTGTATTCATTTATAAATAGTAATAAATATTTCATATAGGGTAGAACTTGGCTT